ACCCAAGTGGTGTATTTTCCACATTCTTATTAGTGAGGATATTGTTGACATCATTTCCCTCTTTTTCATGGTTCTTTGTGCGAACAGTCAGTTGGCACAACGAAAATTAAACTTCAGATACACTGTACACAGTCAGTGACAGTGATCAGACGTCTTCTAAACTAAACATCTTCCAACATAGTGATACATTAAGTCTGGTTCAGACCTTGCGGAAACCTTCCAGAAGGTGTTTTGCAATATGGAACATATTCAATCATGAGATGACTGTTTTCAGTGCTTAAAGACTGGTTTTCACAGCGTCATAAACATACATGCTTGTGCTTATGCTTAGCTAACAAAAATCAGTCTATACAAATTTTATCCAACAAATTCTTTCTTGTTTACCTTTACACTGATGTTTCTAGTTTTCATTCTCTCTCTCTCTACCTCCCTCAAGTTTATATTTTTCAATCTCTGTCCCTCCCTCCTTCCTTTCGTTTGTTTGTTCATTTACTTAGTATACTTGTTTATTTATTTAACCACACAAAAGAAGAAAAAGTGGCCAGGAGACTTCCATCACTACTAGGATTAATGACAACTTTTGAAGTTACCAAAACACTCTTTTTTTAAAATTACACTAAAAACTTGCAAACTAATTAGCTTTTACGAAATGTATGAAGCAAACACTTATCTTCCGGATTTAGAGTGTAGCAATTAATTGTTAGTATCTAATTACAGTGCTGGAAATAATTTTTCTTCTTTAACAGGACATGTGTCCTTTCAAATCTTCATTTTGGTCGGACATCTTATCAATTTAACCGGACATTAATTTGCATAATTGATTAGCATAATTAATTAGCATAAGAAAAGTTATTAGCATACTGCAAAGATTTTCAATACAAATCGTTCAAAACCGTATTTAAATTTGATTTATTTATCACTTATGATTAACTACATGACTTTATCTACTAGATGACTGCACCAATCTCTCCTGGTTATCTCCTGATTATATGTTCTTCAAGCAAACCTAGTTTTCCACACAGGAGCCCATCACTAGGAGTGTGCAACTTCCTCAATTACTCCTGTCCCGGTGTTTTCACAGACCGATCTATTTTTAGTTTGAATTTACCGCGAATTCAACCCCCGAAGCAACCTCAGTAACCAATCACAAGCACAGACTTTATAATTTCACCAGAAGATCAGGTTGCCATGTCCACCTGAGGCCTCCATTTTTCCCCTTACCGATGCGCGCTGAAATAGACCAGAACTGACCTTTTTCGAGGGAAAAGAAGCCTAAAAATAGACTGGTCTGTAAAAATACTGTGACATATGGGAGTTGCAGGCTCCTAATGATGGGCTCCTGACCAAAGTTGACTCTAGGTACATACATGAAGGGCTAACAGCATATCGCAATCCACGTAATGGATAATAGGGCGATTTCTGAAAAGTACTTTATTTGGCAAGTACAGGAAAGATGAACACTTCTGCTTTATGATATGGCAGAAGCC